CTGGTGTTCAATGGCAGATGCCAATCGAGCTCTTTGGTGCTGAGCAATGAGCATAGGTCCACTGGAGGATGTCGGGCCCTCAGGCCTCCCTCGTGAAGTCTGTTTCTGATTGTTTGGTCAGAGACATGCACACCAGTGGCCTACTGGAGATCATTTTGTATGGCTCTGGCAGTGTTTGTCCTGTTCCTCCTTGCACAAAGGAGCAGATACTGGTCCTGCTGATAGGTCCTTCTATGGCCCTGTTCAGCTCTCCTAGAGTAATACAGGCCATAGATGGGTCGAAAATCGGCCGATTTTTCGGCCGAAAATAAAATCGGCCGATTTTCGGATCGTTAGTGGGCTATTTGGTCGGCCGTTTTTCTGTATTTTGGCTGTTTTTTTTTTTTTTTTCTGTAAAGTTGGAAAAAAATCGGCCGATTTTGCCGATCGGCCGATTTTTTTCGCGGCAATTAGTGGGCAAATCGGCCCAATTTTTTTTTTTTTTTTTTTTTTTTTTTTGCCGATAAAAAAATCTGCGCATGAGCAGTGACCTGCAAGAGGAAGACAAGAAGAGGATGAGGAAGAAGAGGAGGATGAGGAAGAAGAGGAGGATGAGGAAGAAGAGGAGGATGAGGAAGAAGAGGATGAGGAAGAAGAGGATGAGGAAGAAGAGGAGGATAAGGATGAAGAAGATGATGATGGAGGACGAGGATGAGGAAGGAGGATGAGGATGAAGAAGAAGAGGATGATGAAGAAGATGAGGATGATGAAGAGGATGAGGATGAAGCAGTAGGATGAAAATAAGAATTCCAGTCCAGCAAAAAGTGTCTCTGCAGAGAGCTCCGCTATTTCTGACAGTTCTCTGACAGTTCTTTGACATTTACAGCGGTTGCAACAATGTATCTATTTGTTTCCGAATAAAAACATCTGTATCCTAAATGGAAACAGATACAATGTTTCAACAGCTGTAAATGTGAAGGAACTGTCAGAAATAGCGGAGCTCTCGGCAGGGACACTTTTTGCCGGCTGTAGAAGGGATGAAAATCGGCCGTCCTTCTTCTTTTTTTTTTTTTTTTTTTTTTTTTTTTTTTTTTTTTTTACCATGGTAAAAAATTGATGGTAACGTCGGCCGCTTGAACGACCGAATTTTCGTTTTTTAAAAGAAAAATCTGCCGTTTTTTCTCCCCATCTATGGCCTGCATAACTGCCTGTCTCCTGGAATCTCTTCCATGCTCTTGAGACTGTGCTGGGAGACACAGCAAACCTTCTGGCAATGGCACGTATTGATGTGCCATCCTGGATTAGTTGGACTGCCTGTGCAACCTCTGTAAGGTCCAGGTATTTCCTCATGCTATCAGTAGTGACACTGACCCTAGTCAAATGCAAAACTAGTGGAAAAAAAGTCAGAAAAGATGAGTAGAAAAATAAAATGTCAGTGGCCTCCACCTGTAAAACAATTCCTGTTTCGGGAATCCCCTCATTGTTGCCCTTCTAGTGCACCTGTTGTTAATGTCATTAAAACCAAAGCAGCTGAAACTGATTAACAGACCCCTATGCTACTTAACTGACTAGATTAATATCCCAGGAGTTTCATTGACGGAAGCAGTGTAAACTGGCATAGGTAGTGAAGGAGCTTGTGTGCTTAGGCTCCTTCCCTAGAGATGGGAACACCAATACAGGATTGGACTTGGGAGTCCTAGAGACCCATCCTGGTGATGGGTTACTGGGCTGGTGGAGTCTGGTACAGGCTCTGTGGTACTGCATCATAATTTCTGCTCAATACAGAAAGAGGAGTTATGAAGTGTAATGAGGAACTGATAAAGAGTATACAAGTTTATGGATTACAAGGAGTTTATTAGCATTGCTTTTAAGTTGGAGTGCTGCCTTAAGCCCATTTTTGGGGGGCACTAGCATGCGCTTTCTCTGGCTCCCCACATGGACACAGCAAGCCCTGCCCACAGGCTGGCTTAAGCTCTCAAGCTAAGCCAGCTGCCAGTCAGGCATCAGGGTGGGTCCCGACATTATTGCTGGGATCCCTGCGGAGCCAGGACTGGTTTTGTGATGTCAGCCGATAATTGGCTTTAGCCCACACTGGTCTAGTGACACTGGGACTGATGTGGTAGTGTTCAGGAACACTGTTACTGGTTGCACTGGTCTGGTGACATTGGGGCTTGTGTGACGGTGATCAGTGTAATGGAACCGACCCCAGACTACGCTTGAATACTTCCGTTAGACTACCGCTTCCCTGTCTGAACACCGACAACAGACACCACAGCAGACTACACAAGACTAGTTTATTTGAACACGGATACAAGATACAGTATATACATTCAAGGGGACAATCCCCCCTCCCTGCATAATGACACAGGGTGGGGCAATCTACATTTAGTAACAAAAGACACACCAACAGACAGTCCCATCAGAAGGGAGAGCTGCTGGAGACACCCCCCCCCCCCCCCCCCCACCAAGCCTAAACACATACATCCCATAATAGTTTGCTCCCAAGCCAGACACACAGTAGAACAATGGGATACAACCACATAACATCAAACAATCAACAACCACCCCAGCCCAATATTAGGACAGATCACCCTGTACCCCTAACAGGCACAGGGTGATTTACATATAAGAGGGATATGGGGAGCTGAGACAGGGGTCTCCCCACCTCTCCAAAGTAAGTTGGGTTCCATGGGCCCCCCCACCCAAAGTGACTCCCGTCACAATCAGGAACACTGTATCTGGTTTACACTGGTCCAGTGACACTAGGATTGGTGTTACAGCAATCGGGAACACCGTTGCTGGCTGCACTGGTCTGGAGTGACGACAATCACGTACATTGTTTATGTCCACACTGGTCTGGTGACTGGCTACACTGACATGGCAATATGTCAGCCCACACTGGTCTAGTGACACTGGGACTGATGTGGTAGTGTTCAGGAACACTGTTACTGGTTGCAGTATGGTGTACTGGTATAGTCACATATGGTGTACTGGTGTGGCAGTAATCAAGCATACACTGTACTGCTGTGAATAGTGATCAGGGACACTGGTGGGCTGTGCTGGCATACAGTGTTTGTACACTGGGATTCAGCCTCATGTACACTGCTGTTCCTAAACGTGAGTTTAGGAGTTTTTGGCATTTTTTTTTCCCAAAGCCCTTGAACTCAACTCAATAAAAGCCTGTGTGTCCATGTACATAAAGGCTTTTACCAGAGTTTAGGAGCAGTAGAGTTTAGGGGCAGTTAAATGTTTCTTTTCTGAACGCAGAATAATTGCTTTCAGGAGAGGAACGTTTTGTCCAAAAAATGCTAAATGCGGCGAAAACATGTATAAACGTTGCTAAATGCTAGGGCATTAATCCAGGTCAATGGAAAATACTCTGGCCAAACGAATAAACGTCCATGGTACCACATTTACACACGTTTTTGCCGTGTTTAGCATATTTCTGCTGCCACTAGAGTTTAATGACTAGGTGAGTTCATGTGTACATGAGGCCTTATAACAGCTAGCCAGTGTCCTTATCATTTCTCACAGCAGTGCAATGTCATCATAGTGACTACTCTGATGACTGCGATATATTTTTTTTTTTTTTTACACACGGAGTGTTTCTTACAGTGCCAAGCGTGTAGGAAACACACTATTTGCCCTCACAGTCCATCTCTGCGAGTGGAAACAGATCAAAAGCTGCAACATGCAGCCATTGTTTACCAGTGTGATAGCTGTGATTGTTTATAGTGATCACATGGTACATCCAGATCTGTGATCCACTGCATTCAAGCATGAGCAGCGAGAGAATGGGAGGATGTTTTAAAATGCCCTTCCACCAGCAGCCATCCAGCCATTTTAATATAGTGGCCTGACGGCAGGTTTTTAAAACTAGCTTGGTTTACATACAGCAGCAGCACCCTAATTCCATTCATTTTAGTTTAAAAAAAGATCCAGGTAATTTTAGCAGTGACCTATTTTTATCAACCACTAATTAATAAAGCAGAGTAAAGTCTGGCCAGCAGAAGGACATTTCCTAATGCAGGAAAATTGCTGAACAGTAATAGTTACAAGACTCGAGCAGGCGTTTTCCTTTTGAACTAAGAGTATCGAACCAAATAGGATATAACTCAGTTAAGTAAGAAAATGGCCAGCAGCAAGGCAATTTTATTAAGCAAGACTAGTACATAATTTCCTAGGGACACAGGGCACAGGCAGGTATTTTTACGCAAGACCTTAAAGACTGCAGATGATAAAGCAGTGTAAAAATTCAGCAGTTTTAGGGCAGCATTATTAAACAAGACTAGAAGTGTACTAGAGGCACAAAGCACAGGCAGGTGTTTTATTCAAGAATTAAGAGACCATTTAACTTCCTCATTATTGCACCATAGCCGAAAGACATCTACAGTGTGGCTCTCTAGTTTTTGTAGGGCTTCCATAAATGTACTCCTAGAACGCGCCTCTGCGTGCCCCTGGGGAGCACTCCTTTGGACACAGCTGATCACAGATTGAGGAAATGGGCCAATCACAACGGCCCTTTACCATGTGATCTTCTGTGTCCGTTCACAGCTGATCTCATGTAAACAAATTTGTCAGTTAACGTAACTTCCTTTCCACACATGCTGTCCCTGTGTGAGGAAAATAAAGCCAATAACCGGCAATCCCGACAGGACAGATCAGTACAAGCCCCATCAGTGCTGCCTATAAGTGCAGCTTATCAGTTCATATCAGTGCAGCCTCACCAGCACCCATCACTGTGGAGAAATCAATAGAGAAATGTCACCTTAGGTTGGTATTCAGTGATGAAGATCTCGTTATGTCTGTAGTAGATATGTGCACACCAGAAATTTTTGTTTCATTTTGGATACATTTTTTCATTGAAGAATTTTGTTTTGTCATATTCATTATGTTAGTGAAAATATATATAAAGGTAGGCACTAGCCCTTTAACCACCTTCCGCCCGCCCTATAGTACAATGACGGGTGCAAGGTGGTTCTCTCATTCTGATAGGATGTCATATGACGTCCTACCATTCTCACTGCGCATGCGCGGCTCAGGGAGTGCGCAGTGATCGCCGGATCACGGAAAGAGCCGAAGTTGTCGGCTTGGTCATGTGGTCAGCTGTGTCCAATCACAGCTGATCACATGTAAACACAGAAATGCCGGTTATCGGCATTTCTCTCCTCTCGAGCTGTCACGCTGACAGCTCGGGAGGAGAGGAGAGCCGGTAATCGGCTTTCTGCGGAGGGGACATGTACACTGATCATCAGGGCACTGATGATCAGTGTGCTCTGATGATCAGTGTGGCCCCAGAAGTGCCACCTGCCAGTGCCAGTGCCCATCAGTGCCAGTGCCCATCAGTGCCACATCAATGCTACATATCAGTGCATACCAGTGCACATCAATGCCACATATCAGTGCCCATCTGAGCTGCCTTTCAATGTCAGTCAGTGCCAGTCAGTGTCGCCTATCAGTGCAGTGCCAGTCAGTGCGGCCTAACAGTGCCGCCTATCAGTGTCATGTATCAGTGTCATGTACCAGTGCTGCCTTTCAGTGCCCATCAGTGATGCCTGTCAATGCCCATCAGTGCAACCTACCAGTGCCTCCTCATCAGTGCCCATCAGTGGCACCTATCAGTGTCCATCAGTGCAGCCTATCAGTGCCCATCACTGCAGCCTCATTAGCGCACATCAGTGAAGGAGAAAAATCACTTATTTACAAAATTGTATAACAAAAACTAAGAAAAAAACGTTTTTTTTTTGGTTTGTTTAAGAAAAAAATAAAAAACCCAGAGGTAATTAAATACCACCAAAATAAAGCTCTGTCTCCAAAAAATGATAAAAATTTCATACGGGTACAGTGTTGTATGACCGCGCAATTGTCATTCAAAGTGCGACAGTGCTGAAAGCTGGAAATTGGCCTGGGCAGGAAGGGGGTATAAGTGCCCTGTAGGCAAGTGGTTAAACTATAGTGCTTAAAATATATATACCTTAAACCAGATTACTGAAATGAATGAAAACAATCGACAATGAATCAAATCAAGACCAGTAAGTTTAGCAAATAAATAAAATCAATCTGATCAATATAGAGTCCAAATATCTTGTGAAAATTCCCAATCGCCATGCTCTTGAAAGTATAGCTGGGTGATAAAAAATAAATCCTCATAAAATCAAGTGTTCCACCACATGTAAGTGAATTGCTCACTCACAATATCCCTATGGAATGAAAGTGTTGGGTGTCACAATCCAGGATGTGGGACGACTGTATCCAATCCATTCATAGATGTCACTGTGCAAATCTCATTCCCCAAAAACAATAAATGGAAAGACTAGAGTGTAAAAGCTAATAGTGTAGGATGTTTTATTCAACCAGAGAATGTATGAATAAAATATTACACTCACATCAATAGATGCCAAGGAGAGGCACCAACATAGACAGCTCACTGTTCAGGACCTTAGACTTGCACTGTCTGTAGGTCAGCTTAAATTTGTCTGGAAGCATTTGTCTGATGATCCAATACCACCAAAAGAAAGTTTGATTTTTGTGAAAAAAATTCTATAAATTGAAATTATATACAGTGTTGCAAGACCGTGCAATTGTCAGTTAAAGCAGAGCAGTGCCGAATAGCAAATAATGGCCTGGTCATGAAGGGTGTGAAACTTCCGGAGGACAAGTTGTTATGATATTTTGGCATTATGGAGTGATGGGAATGTGTGAGAAGATTGTCTTTTCTCACTGGGGAAGATCTTTTTTATAAAACGTGCTTGTGACTGCTTCTTGGTGAGGGTCACATGAAATCTGGTAAGCCTTGCATTAGAGTGAGAGGTGTCACCTTGGCTATCCATGAAGCTCAGTTTCCATCACAGCATGTGGGACTTTTTTTTTTTCTTTTATGGCTTTCTGAATTTCATTTAATGGACACTCTTATGGACTTTCCTAATTTTGTTCACACATACGGTAAGTCTTTGGTTTATGGTATATCATTATTATTTGCACTTTAATGCTGTTTTATTTGTCACTTATGAATTTCTGATTAATTATATGATTATTTATTGTTGCTTGCAACTGGTATATTATTGAGTTTCATCACTTTTATGTTATTTATGGTTTTCTGTCCCCCTACAGGGACATATCTTTATTATATTAAATTTTTTTCACATATTTTCTACTGAGCGCTGCACTATTTGCACTAGATACATGTATTCTCTCATACCTGATATCACAGTATAGTGCCAGCTGCTGATGTGCATTTTTTTTATTCACCTGAGCGCAGATTTATATAAATAATATATAAATAAATTACATGAAAATCCCACTAGATGACATGCAGTGACAAACAACCTCCTAAAGAAGCCCATCGCCAAAATGCATAGGGGTGGACCTTGATTGGCTTAGACGTGACTTCCGGGCTGCGGAGTTTGGCAGAACCAACGCACCTTACATATGACAGAGCCTTTTTATCTGTGCCAATATTTCTGTAGGCACCAGTGAATGTGAGTGCATTAGTTTTATTTACAACCTGCCCTCCAGAGGAATTACCCTCCCCCTTAATGATCAGGCATTTTTTTTGCGACGCAGGGCTGCATTACTTTGACTGACAATTGCGCGGTCATGCAATGCTGTAAATAAATTAAATGTATGGCTTTTTTCCCCACAAATAGTTTTTTTTTTCAAAATTGTGGGTTTTTGCGTTTAAACGCAAAAATACCACAGAAAAAAAAGCTCTATTTTTTGACTTTTTTATATAAAACATATCCAATAAAAAAAAAATTTAAAAATCAAATTTCTTCATAAATTTAGGCGAAAATGTATCCTGCTACGTCTCTGCTAAAAAAAAAAAAAAAAAAAAAAAAAAAAAAATCACAATAATTGTATATTAATTGGTTTCTGTGAAAGTTACAGTGTCTACAAATGGCAGTAAATAAACTTATACTTATTTAATTTTTTTTTATACTAGTAATGGTGGCGATCAGCGACTTATAGCGGGACTGCGGCGGGCATTCTGACATTGGGTGGAAACTGACTAACTGCCACTGATATCCCCAGTGACACTAATACAGTGATCAGTGTTATAAAAAGCAGTGTCGTTGTACTAATAACACTGGGCAGGGAGGGGTTAACATCTGGGGCGATTGTCTGCTGTGTGTATTTTACGAGAGACATGCTGCTGTGTATTTCTCTGCTGTGCAGAGAAATACACAGCAGCATGTCCATGCTGACAGGAGAGAGACCTCTGTTGTTTACACACAGGTCTCTCCCCTGTCAGCTTTGCCGACCATCACCGAGTGCTGGCCGGGGGACCTGGTGATTGACATCCCCAGCTGCACCTACCCGGAAATGCAAATCCCGTATATATACGCAAATTTGTGCAGCTGTGCCGCCCTGTAGCAGGGCAAGTGGTTAATATTAAGTCCTCGTGCACACTGGATGTTTTTACAGCGGCTGTTTTTAGCTTTTGGCATTTTTTCCTATAGCCAGTAAACTCCCTAGCATGTTATCATATGTGTCCATGCACACATAGGCTGTAATGAGCAGTTTTTGGCTGGATAAACCCCCCAGAACTGGTGGGTTTCTAGAGGAGTTTTTTTTTTTAGCTGTAAAAACGCTCTAATGCTGAAAAAACACTGTAAAATGCGGCAAACCAGCATTGTTGGACTTTTTTTGAGCAAAAAAAAAATTCTTTTTGGTAAAAAAAAAAACCCCAGCAAAAAGCGGAAAAATGCGGCTAAACGCTAAAAAAAGTTGAAAAACTTACGTTTTTAACGTGACTTTACACAGCTAACACTACCAGCATTCTTAAAACATCCAGTGTGCATGGAGCCTAAGTCCTTAAGCACACGGCGCACATGCCGATAGCGTTGACTATATAAATTGCGTTAAAAATGCAAATTTTCCACATTTTTTTTGTGTTTTGTATTCGCATTTAGCCGCGTTTTGATGAGTTTAGCCACGCTTTTACACACGAAAGAAGAAATAATGTTTGGGCTCAAAAACGCTGGTTTGCCACGTTTTACTGTATTTACCAGCGTTAGAGCATTTTTACAGCTAAAAACATTTTCTAGAAACCTTCTAGTTTCTTTTTTTTTTTTTTTTTTTTTTTTTTTTTTTTCCAGCCAAAAATTGCCCCTGCCAAAAAACACTGATTAAAGCCTATGTGTGTATGGACACATAGGATAACATGCTGGGGAGTTTACTGGTTATAGAGCCAAAAACAGGAGCTATAAAAACATCCAGTGTAAATGAAGATTAATAAAAACAGTTGTAATAGTGCTAACCCCTGGTTCACATATCCACTTTCCTGCAGGCCGCGTTTTGCGCGGGCACGAGAGCACATTCATTTGAATGGACTCCCGTGCTCCCGGACACACAGGGAAGAAGTCCCTGCACTTCTGAAAACGCAGCCCACACAGGAACCTCGGTTCCCAGTACGATTTCCAGTGCGGATGGTGTGCCATTAGAATTAATCTGCATTTTTCTGTGTGGGTGGTGTGGCTGCACAAATTTTTGTAGGGATCTGCAGCGGCACTACCCGCACATATGTGAACCGAGCCTAAGTGATGAGTCCCTGTCTGTCTTCTCTCCCTATCCTGTGAGTGGAGTGTTATATGTTTTTGGGGGAGAGGATGATTACCCCTCACCATTTACTTTAGTGTGTTTGACATTTGTATTGCTGTAAAGGCCCAACTCTTCTGGTAAGTTTGAGCTGTCCACAGGGTGTGCACAGAAATTTGGCATTTTCACGGTAGATGGAGCACTACATTTTCAATTGTGGGTGGAGCACATTTATTTTAGAGTTGGATTTTCTTCATAACTTTGAACTGTATAATGTGTGGACATTGTTTTGGGTGGAGCACATTGACTGGACAATATTATTTTGTTTAGTTACTAATTTATTCAGTTTTATTTATGTTACTGATTGTCAATGTATGTTTGTTATGATTTATTTATTTATTAGCGCTGTATTTGTGTGTGTTATGCACTTGGGAGGTGAGTGTGAATCTGTTTTTTTGGTTTAGTTCTGTTCTGCCTCGTATACAGTACTTCAGTATCATTATTTTTATAGCATGCATGCATTCTTTAGTAAATTAGACACTATGCTTTGCTATTCATATCAGACTCTGCAGCAAAAATGTTTTCTAAATGCTAATGCAGTTCCATACATAGACACACACACACCAACACCAGTCCGAAATCCAATTAACTCCCCAGTCACATCGGGTGCGACTTGGCATGCGATTTGCATGCAATGGGACTTGCAAATCGTATGCCAAGTCGCACCCTATTGTCTGCTATTAGAGTGGTCATATCAGTGCAGTTCCGACTTGGTCGGAGCTGCACCGATTTCTAAAGTAGTGCATGCATTACTTTTGGTGCGATTTGCATAGTCATCTGTCAGATGTCTTGCAAATCGCAACTGAAATTGACAGGTCACCCGATTTTGAAATTGTGCAACTTCACTGTAAGTCGCACGATTTCAAAATCGGCTTTGATGTGACCAGGGGCCAA